TACATGAACATGCTCTGGGATAGCTTCTAGCATATGAGCAGAAAACCCACGATATTTCCCCTGCATATTACTAGCACCATCAGTAGAATTTCCGATACATTTGGTAATGTCCAAATTATTTTTTCCTAGTATTTCTTTTATAATATTGTAAAAAGCTTCACCGGTTGATGATTCCACACTGATGATGGCTAAAAGTCTTTCATTTATGTATTTATTTACGTATCTCACTATAATTGCACGTTGATCTTGAACACTTATATCTTGTGTGGTGTCAATCTGAATACTATACATTCCAGCATCACTTATTTCTTTTGAAATTTTGTTTTTAATTAGTTTCGATATTGCTTCAAGTATGTAGTTTACAGTAGTTTTTGATAAAAATGTAACTAAGTTGCCACGTCCTTGTGTTTCCTTATCTAAATTTGACTGGTGATTTTTTTACTCTCCTTAATGCAACTATCCAAATGCTTCTTCAAAATATCGTCATATTTGCTTAAAAGTAATATCATTTCTAAAAAGTTTCCGTGATCTAAATTGTCATCGTCCAATGTATAAAGACCCTCATTTCGTTTGCTTCTATAACTTAACCCTCTTTTGCCAATCAATTTAATAATATCAATTATTCGTTTGACAACATTACGATTAAAAAGTATTTTTTCATTTCGTATGGATTTCAATTGTGTAGTAATGCTTGAACAGTTTTTCGTGCGCATGAAATGGCGAACAGCATTTTCGTCATGAAACTTGCTTTTCTCATGCCTTTCGACATATTGATGAACATAATGCCAATTACTAAAACCTTTGATAAAAATATTGTCTTTTGAATCTCTTCCGTATGCTAAGCAGATCGAACAGTACAACTTGTTATTTTCCTCACAAAATGTTAACCATTTACGATTTTGACAATCTATTTTTCTATTATAAATTTTAGTATTAAACGGTGTTTTTTTGGTAGGTTGTTTTGGATGATACTTCAAGAAATCATCTATATTACAGTAATGTGGCTTTACAAAAAATGTATTAGACTCGTTGCCTTCTAGAATTGGAATACTGACTTCCATTGCTTGCAAAATTTCTTTATTTTTCTCTTTCTCAAATTTGTTTTGATCAGTTTGAGCATTATCGACATTATCTACGTCGGTTGAAGTTGCAGATATATTATTTTCAATTTCTTGAATACTAATATTTTTATTTATATTTCTCCACTCATTCACATCGTCGTTGTTAGACATATTTTCAGACTGGCATTTTAAGTTTTTATTAAACATTTGTTGTATACTGTAGCACTGTCCAGCTACTAACTCCAAATCATGTTTTCTTTTTAGTCTCAACTTTTCTTGACCTCCCTTTGCTTTTTTCCCCCAGACTGTGATTCCATTCTGCAAATTAAAAATTATAAGGAATCGAACCAAACCATTTACATACCAAATATATTTTGTGATGTTATAACCTATAACCTACTTTTTACTAACCTGAAAGGAAAAAATAACTTTTTAAAATTTATTATCAAATTTGTAAAATTCTAGTTGTCCGAACCTATAAAATAGACTATTTTTAATTAAATCATTTGTAATATAAAGAAAATAATTATTAAAAACATTTTCTACTTACATCAAATAAACAAAATAATTGTAATTAGCAGTTCATAGTAGTTTAAACCGTAATGAGAGCCAGAGAAGAGAGAATTCAGAGCGCGATTCTTAATGCTTTTGCATTATACCAGGGATGGGCAACCTTTTTCTAAGAACCACATTTGAAACGTTCGAATTGAAACGGGCCACAGATAAGAAAAAATAAAAAAAAATGCGGGTAAATCACAAATATTTATTCATATATTCATAAATTAACATAGGTATACTGGAATTAATGCGAATGTAATATATCAGATATATGTCATCGATCTTATAACTGTTATATCGAGCTTTTATTGTACAAAACCACGTGCGAACCTGAAGGTCAGTCCAGCATTGAAAGTAATGAGAAGTTGAAACGTTCTCATATATGATTTTTTATTTATTACTGTCCAGTTCTAAGTTTGAATTGTTTTTAAAATATTAATAATTTTCTAGTTCAAACATTTTTAATTTCAATTTTGGAAATTAATACTAACATTATTATTAAACAGAAATTCTAACTTCGATATTTAAAATTCGAAATTCCACATTAAAAAATCTATTTCCGTAAAATTTTAAATATTTTACATGCCTTTTTCTATAATTCGGATAAACCACAGTAGATTAATAAAAAATTTTCGAAAAACCAAAAAAGTTAATGCAACGATATAAAGCATTGGTAAAACTTTACAGCTCTATATGAAATGTCCAGTGAAGTCGGGTTAAATTACCAGATAGTCCTTGCAAATAGAGATGGCCCTTGGGTTGGTTTATTTTTGCGTCTTTAAGGGGCGATAAATTGTTTAAGAATGTACAGTACATATACTCTCTTGGGCTTCATTTAGTCTCGAAAAGAGGTCAAGCACGTATGGACAGTCTATGAAAGTATATGTGCTTTTGTAAACAATTCTATCACCCCTTAAAGACGCAAAAATAAACCAACCCAAGGGCTACAAATGAAATTTCTGAAATAAAACTAACAAAACGGTATATTATGTACTGTACGTATTTAGAAAAACGGTCCAAATTGTATACAGCCCATGTGGAATTTTCAACATCTTCCATATGGCCAGTCCGCCCCTTACTACAAATATTTGAGAATTTTAAAAGAATTTAAATGTAATTTTATAAAACTTTTATACATTAAAATAAAATTTCAACTATGTTAATAATAGAAAAAAAATAATTTTTACAGTTTTTTTATTATCTATTTCTTTTTCCCAAATATTAAGGATTCTGTTTGGGTATCCTGAAAGAATAAATTTTTTCTTTAGTGTATTTAAATATTCGATTTGTTTAGTATTTATACTAGTTCTATTTTTGATTTTAGTGTATTCCATATTAAATATGTTTTGTTTTATATGAAGTGGTATGTTAGAATTATAGTTAACTGTGGTATTTATTGAGCACTGCTTTTTAAACGGTTCAAATTCGAGATTTGTATTATTTCTTTTAATTGTAATATCTAAATAATTTATGCTGTTGGTAATTTTATCTTCTTCTTCTATTTTAAATTGAATATTTTTATGGATATTATTTATTATTTTTCTGATTTCATTAGTGTTAATTTCGACTTCATCATATATTATTAGGACATCGTCTACGTATCTTCTGTAGAACTTTATACCATATATGTCACTTATTTCTTTGTCTATATCTATCATTATGATCTCTGCTAGTTTCGGTCCTATTACGGACCCCATACTAATTCCACTATTCTGTGTGTAATATTTACTGTTTATTTCAAAGTAGTTGCTTCTGTAGGTAAATTCGATTAGGTCTATTATTTCAGGTTCAATTTTAAGTTGTGTCAGCTTTGGTTCAATTATTTCCCATATTATGGAAGGGTACATATCAATTATGTCTAGACTTGCAATTCTGTATGTATCTTTTATATCTATCTGTTTAATATCATATAATAGTTCATCAGTATTATAAATAGCAAATTTAGAATTTTGATATATTTTTAGTTTGTTTTAGAATTTTTTCAAGATTATATAATGTTGTATTTCTGAAGTCAACTATAGGACGGACAGTTTCATCTGCTTTATGTGTTTTAAGTTGTATCTTCATTTTCGGTGTACGATCGTTGTTTTCACTCAGGATAAATTCTTTTTCATCTTTAGTTAAGCTTTTTAGTTTGTATAGTTTGGTAATTTTTACAGTGTTTTTTTTATTTTTAACTCTCCACCGTGTGGACATTAAGAGGACCTTTTTAATCATACCCATCATGAGTTTGGCAGGCCCATAATGGGGATGATTGTGCCTTTATCCGGTTGTCCCCAGGGTTTTAGGGGTTTTCCTACTGCTCATATTCGATCTGGTGGTCCCCAGAGCTGTAGGCTAACCCCCTAACTTCCTGTCCCATTCAGAGATCAAAGTATTATTTGTTTATAATTTTTTAGGAATAAAGCTTGTTTTATTTTTGTTATTAAACACCAAACTCCATTGATTTTATATAGAAATCCATTAGACATACTTTTATTGGCGTTCTGATTTTTATTGATTCCTTTTGATTCACTCTTCCTGACAAGATCATATGTAAATGGCCACATATAAGGTTCCGTTTTGGTACAGAAATGAAATCGATGTTTCTTTTCGATCCATCCCCTTTTCAGCAGGCAAGCTCTTAAAGTAGGGAAGACACCATTTATGGCAAATATCCTTGATGTCTAGAAAAGAAAATAGATAAGCCATTGTTAAACAAGTTCTACCAACTTTTTCACTTGTCAATCATTCTTTTGCCTTTCTTACCACTTACAGAATGATGTATTTCATTATAGCAGACGGCACTTACCATAGGAAATCGTCCAACTGCTTCAAGATCCAACTCATCTTTTTCTGGATTTGTAGCAGTCATTTTGCCCAATCTGTAAGGAATTTAAAATATTTTAAAATGGAGTCACGTCGATGATTTCTAAGTTAAAATTCTGTATATCATCTGAAGATATCGAACGATAATCCATATCAAAGGGGAACTACATTGCAATTAAATAATTTTACCAATTTTTGCTTCATCAATCAAAGTAAAGTTAACTTTTTCCTTTCCAACGCCCACTTAGATATAATGAAAAGAGAAAAGGAACTTTGTCCCTATATTCTCCCCCAATCGAGTAACCTAGCCTTCTTTCCTCCAGCTGACAGAACAATTTGGGTCACTCAGTAAATGTTACAAAAATATATTCCCCTCGATGTGGGTTCCTGTCCGTGGTGAGGGGACCTCCCAGAGATGGTTTAGTAACTCTTCTTTACCATACCTGGGATCTGAACGCCCACCCACCTGTTTGCCATGCGTGGTGTCCCGTATGCCGGAAAAGGGGATCCTGGTAGTTGAGGGGCAACATAACGTCCCCAACACACTGCTTTGGCCCCTGCTTCGGATAAACGGGAGGCTCAAATCAGGCTCCGTTTGAGTCAGTCGGCTGGTCATTGAGTCATTCTTGACCTCGGCTTGGAGTCAACCGATTGATGCAGACCGGGCGGACACGTCAGACAAGATGTGCTCTTCTTGACTGCATTGTGAGGGTATAGCTCCTGGGAAACCCTGGTGTGACGGTCTATGGGAATTTCCCATGTGACCGCATCCCCTTGATGGGCCCCATGGTGGGTGGGGTCACCAGGAGCTGAACTGTTATTATTAAATATGGATTCACTAAAACATAAAACATGTGCTGATGCATTACCACCAAGGGATGCTATTTCTTTCAATCAACCAGCATATCTTATTGTTCATGCTACGGGAGAAACACCTCTATCTAAACGTTTTCCTTTTTTGATTCAAAAATTGTTTGAATCGACCATTGGGAATCTTAAAAAAATTCAAAAACTGAAATCAGGAGATCTACTTGTAGAAGCAGCCTCCCCTCAACAGTCAGCAAAGCTTCTCAAAATGAAATCTCTAGGAGAAATAATGGTAACCATCACACCACACACAAATTTGAACTCGTCACGTGGTGTGATATCTGAAACCGATCTGATGTCTGAGGATGAATCAGATATTCAGATTGGTCTCTCAGACCAAGGTGTCACTGCTGTTCTAAGAATTTCAATTCGTTGTGATGGCAAGTTGATACCAACAAGACACCTTATATTGACTTTCAACAAACCAACATTGCCATCTACTGTTGCGGCAGGATATCTCTGTTGTCATGTTCGCCCATACATTCCAAATCCGCTGCGTTGCTTTAAATGCCAGCGGTTTGGACACTCACAAACATCCTGCCATGGGAAAAGTGCATGTGCCCAGTGTGAAAAAGATCATGAGAGTACTGAATGTACAACTACTCCATGCTGCGTCAACTGCAAAGAAGCTCACCCTGCCTACTCTCGAAAATGTCCTACATGGCAAAGAGAAAAAGTGATACAGCGGGTGAAGACTATAAATAATATACCTTACCCGGAGGCACGTTGTATGGTCACTTTAAGTGCATCAGTGAGACAGAAGACATTTGCTGCTGTTCATAAATCCACAAACACATGTGGAGTTCAGACAGACATTTCTGTTTCACCAAATGAATCGCTAACATGCCATGCAAAATGTTTGTATCAACAAACATTTTGCATGGTAGATGCAAAATGTTTGTTGATACAAACATTTTGCATCTACCCAAACAGCAGAAAAGGAGAACAAGAAAAGCAAAACACCCCTACCTAAAACAGGGTCATAACAAGAAACGTGGGTTCTAAGAAGGCTGCTAAGAACCCACTCAACAAACAAAAATTAAAAGCAGCCATCTCCAAATCTAAGAGATCAGAGGCTCAGTCTATGAGTGAGTTCTCTGACTTCTCTGACGAGGAGACTAATAAGGAGGTAACACCACCAACTTCACCTCCAAAAGGCAAATCAGCCGTAAAACTAAAGAGGGATACCTTAACAAAGAATGCTACCTCAAACACATAATGGATTACAAAATAATCCAATGGAACTGTCGTGGTTTTCGCAACAACTTCTCTGACATTAAACACTTGACATCCTCTACTTCATCTCTCTGTGTGGCACTCCAGGAAACCCATCTGAAACCTGGAGAAAGAATTAAAAGGATTCAATCTCTACCGCAAGGATGATGATAGCCACAACCGTGTGGCTATTGTAGTTTCAAATCACATCCCATCCTTGCCGGTACAAATAACAACTGATCTGCAAGCTGTGGCAGTCAGGATTTCAATTGGAGTAACTGTCACAGTTTGTTCTATATACTTGCCACCAGATGTCAGAGTCCATGAGAATGAACTGGATGCCTTGGCTGAACAGCTGCGAACATCATTCCTTTTATTTGGTGATTTTAATGGTTACAATCCTATGTGGGGCAGTCCCGACATCAATCGTCGAGGCAGAGCCATTGAGAGATTTATAGGTAATCATCAACTGTATCTATTTAATACTGGAGAAGTGACATACTTTCATGCCTTAACAAGGACATTCACTGCCATTGATCTATCATTAGCAACTCCGAATCTGTTTTCAGCATTTACATGGGAGGTTGAATCTAATCCACTTTCCAGTGACCACTTCCCAATATTTCTAAAATATCAAGGCAGAGAAAGCTGTGAAACAGCCCGTCCACCACGCTGGAAATTGGAAACAGCCGATTGGCCTGTTTTTTCTTTTATGGCCAACATTACGGAGGATATGGTGAATATTGCTGATATCAATGACGCAGTTGAAGTTGTCACTTCCAGTATTATTCAGGCAGCTGAAAAAACAATGGGGAAGACATCAACTAGATATCCAAAACATACTAAACCATGGTGGAACCAGAATTGTGAGGCAGCGTTTAAAGCCCAAAAGAAAGCATGGGGTATTTTCAGAAGATACCCCACTGCTAGAAATTTGAATGCTTTTAAAAAAGCAAAGGCAAATGCCAGAAAAATAAGAAGGCAAAGCCAAAGGGATTCTTGTAGGAAGTATGTCTCTAGTATAACATCTTCCACTAGCTCAAAAGCTGTCTGGGATAAAATCCATAAAATCAATGGGAAATATGCTTCCCACTCTCTGTCCATGCTGGAAAATAATGGCACAATAATCAGCGATATACAGGGTATTGCCAATTTGTTGGGTGAAACGTTTTTTTCTTCATCCAGCAATGTAATGTTTACTAGGAATTTCCAAGCTTATAAAGCTCGAAGTGAAAAACAATACTTAAACTTTCACTCCTCATCTAATTAGGAATATAATGTGCCATTTACGAACATAGAACTTCATACGGCTATCTCTCGCTTGGGGAATAGTGCTGTAGGCCCAGATAAAATCCACTACAGCATGATTAACCCGTATGAGGTCGCATGACCCATTCTGACTTGCACCCCCTAATTTATGATCTGCTGAATCGTTAATAATTAAGTTTTACCGATGTGATTCACAGTAGCTTCCTAAATTTATTGTTACTATCGGAACATATGGCCGTTACTTAGTTTCTCAGAACGCATTAAGAGATAATTGCTCTGTAGGGTCATGGTGACCCGCAGCGACTTTTAACGTCTGCGTTAATTTGTAAGAGGGGGGTGTGTCATCATGACTCGCCATGTGTTTATTTTCAATCTTTAAACCCTTAATTCTCACCTGCAAGTCATTTAGTGTTTGTAGGAACGTATTTTCGTTGGGTGCATTTCTAGGAAATGTTTTTCGTTTATTTTTCAAAGTTTAAAGCGATTTTACTGCTATATAATAGTCAAACGACAGCTTGTAGTCGCAGTTTGTAGTTGTGTTGCTTAGTCTTTTCCTGTACGAGTGTATAGAGTCTAGTAACTGTTATCGAGTGTATAGAGTTTAGAATGGATCAGAAAGAGATCGATAGAATATGTGCCATGCTAAACTACACTTTATCAGAAAACGAAGATGAGTGCTTAGGTGGTGAAGAAAGTGATGCAGAGAGTGTTGTTGATGCAGAGGAAGAAATTGTGGATGATGATCAGTTTAATACTGATACATCACAAAGTGAAAATGAATATGAAGATGACATTCTGCCACGTGATGGGAATTTCTACACAGGAAAAGATGGTACGAAATGGAAGAAGGTGAAACAAATTCAGTCTGTGCGCACACGAAGACACAACATCGTCTCTCATCTTCCAGGTTGTAGACGTGAAGCAAGAGATGCTAAAACACCTTTGGATGCCTGGCAGTGCTTTTTTCCCGATTCTATTTTACAAAAGATAGTGGACTACACTAACGTCTATATAGAAATTATTAGATATACAAGGTATAGTCGTGAAAGAGATGCGAAACCAACAGATTTGGTGGAGATAAAAGCTTTCCTGGGACTTTTGTATCTTTCTGGTGTGTTGAAATCATCACACATACACACCGATGAATTGTGGAACGATGATGGCACAGGAGTTTCTATTTTTCGTGCAACTATGAACCAACAACGATTTAGATTTTTGTTGAGGATGCTGCGCTTCGATGACAAGAGAGATCGTCAAGTAAGAATAGAATTTGATAAATTTGCTCCTGTGAGAGAAATATTTGAATATTTAGTAGAAAATTGTAAAAAATATTTCTGTGTTAGTGAGTACACAACAATTGATGAAATGTTGTGGAGTTTTCGTGGCAGATGCGCATTTCGTCAATTCATGAAAAGCAAGCCTGCTAAATACGGGATAAAGGTGTTTTCGCTTGTAGATGCTAGGACCTACTATACCCTGAATATGGAAGTTTATTTAGGCAAACAACCTGATGGTCCATTTAGGCTTGATCAGTCTCCTTTTTCTGTTGTGAAACGTCTGATACAGCCGATCTCGGGTACTGGGCGTAACGTAACATATGACAATTGGTTTACGAGTGTTCCATTATCCCGAGAACTCCTATGTCAGCACAACCTCACAACAGTTGGAACAATAAGGAAAAACAAGCGTGAGTTGCCTGCATCTTTTCTTATCAGCACTGGTAGAGAAGAGTTTTCTTCACTTTTTGGATTTGGAGAAGATCATGCAACTCTAATTTCATATGTTCCTAAAAAAAAGGAAAGTTGTTTTATTGTTATCAACGATGCATGAAAACGATGCAATTGACCCAGGAACGGGAGATAAAAAAAAACCCGAAGCAATTACGTTCTATAATGCAACAAAGGGAGGAGTGGATACAGTTGACGAAATGTCAGGCAACTATTCTGTTGCTAGGAAAAGTCAGAGATGGCCCCTGACAGTATTTTATCACATGCTAAACATAGCAGCTATTAATGCCCTTGTTATAGTTGCGTGTAATAAAAATCCCGAAAGCCGCCCTATTATACGAAGAAAGTTTTTAAAAGAAATAGCTTTAGGTTTGGTAAAGCCCTACATGAAACAGCGTCTCAGCATGCCAAATCTGAGCAGAAAGATAAAAA